GCCACAAGAAGATTGCCCAGGAGCAGAAGCTCAGAAGAGACAAAGACCTTCCTCTAGAGCCGACAGAGAGAGAAAGCCTTCCCCTAGAGCCAGCACCCTGAATTCAGACTTCTAGCCTCCTAAACTGTGAGAAAATAAAGTTGTTAAAGGCATCCATTTGTGGTATTTTTGTTATAACAGCACTAGATAACAAAGACAGTGGCTTCCAAGCAGAAGAAGGAGTTGTGGTGGAAAGGGTCACAGCAGCCTCTGCCTCTGGGGGCTAGCAGTGTTCTTTCTCTTGACTTGAGTAGTGGCAACACAGGAGTTTATTTTATAATAGCCTATTAAATTGCACAACTAGTTTTATGAATTGTGTGTGTACATAATATAGTAGACAAAACTTTTTTTTAAGTTTAAAAAAGAATGCTTCAGAGCTAAGAAGCAACTAGAAATGAGAGCCAAGTCTGATTCCCTGAAATTCAAAGTTAGGGGCTAAGGTAGCCTTAGAGAAACTCCCAGAAGTAAAAATGGGCAGAGGTGTGAGGGTTTAAAGCACTTTCCTAAAGTGAGTTCCACAGAACACTAGTTCTGGTGGATGTCATATGAACAAATAAATTGGGAAATGCTGGGTTAACTATTCAATTCACCAAAAAAAATCCATTAAAAGGCTTAAGGATCAGGAAGTATTCTAAGCACCATGAACTCGATGGATTATTCCTTCTGTAAAGTTATGTCGTTCTCAAAAGTTAAATGTTATCCATAAATTCAAGGAGCGCTGGTGGCGCAGTGGTTAAGCACTCAGCTGCTAACCGGAAGATTGATCGTTCAAACCCAACAGTTGCTCTGCGGGGGAAAGATGTGGTAGTCTGCTTCTGTAAAGATTTACAGCCTTGGAAATTCTCTGGGGCAGTTCTACTCTGCCCTATAGGGTCCCCAGGAGTCGGAATTGACTCAATGGGAACGGGTTTGGTTTTTGATATCCATAAGATTTACAGCATTCGGATGTTGAGTCCATAACCACAGCAATGGACGCAAACATACCAATGATTATGAAGATGTTATACATAGATCACATGAGTCGGAGCTAATTTGACAGCAACTAAGAACAACAACAAAAGCTAAATACCTTTTTTCACTACAGGACTTCTCAGAGCCCTTAATTTGCTACTGTGTTCTGAATGTCTCAGGCAGGACAGATTACAGTGTTCCTCAAATGTATAACATCATGGTGTATGGGACCTGTCATGGATTGAATTGTGTCCCCCCAAAAATGTGTGTAGCAACTTGGCTAGGTCATGAGTCCCAGTATTGTATGATTGTGTTATCTGATGTGATGTCCTTATGTGTTGTAAACTCTACCACTATGATGAGATTATATGTGATCTCCTCATGTGTTGTAAATTCTATCACTGTGATGAGGTTATACTGATGAGGTTTACAAGATCAGTGTCTTAATGCAATCTCTTTTGAGATATAAAAGAGAGAAGCCAGCAGAGACACATGGGAACCTACCACCAAGAAAGCAGTGCTGGGAGCAGAGCATGTCCTTTGGACCTGAGGTTCCTGCGCAGAGAAGCTCCCAGACCAAAGGAAGACTGATGACATGGACTTCCCCAGAGCTGATGGAGAAAGCGTTCCCCTGGAGCTGATGCCCTGAATTTGGACTTGTAGCCTACTGGACTGTGAGAGAATAAATTTCTTTTTGTAAAGCCATCCACTTGTGGTATTTCTGTTGGAGCAGCACTAGATGACTAAGACAGGACCCAATTAATGTGCTGCCTCAGACCTTTCGGCCTTACCTCTCTCCTAGACCCTTGGCCACTTGCTCATAGAAAGTCTGGCTGCTGCTGCAGTTTCATCATCTCCTCAACCCCTAGTATTGGTGGCTGTCTTGGCTCCAGCATGACTCCATTGTGCTCACTGCAGTGGGGGCAGCAGCAGCTCTAGCACCCATGCCTGACCCAACTGGACCACAGAGGCTGTGGCTCCTTTCACCTCTTCCAGACTCAACTGAACCACCACACAGTATGACATGCAATCTCGTTTCCCCCAGCAGCTCCCCAAAGGGGCCAAATGATGCAACCTGGAAGTTTAGGTGAATGAATACTCTGTGAAGCAAACTTCAACCATGAGAGACAGGAGATGGGAAAGAGCCAGCAGAGAAAATTTCTCTTCTTCCCTCTGATGAACTGTTCTGAGTCATGGTGGGTTCTTTATGCTAGAAACATCCCACATGACTGAGCAGTCGGCTGTGTCTTAGTGAAACTGTGGCTGGATCAGTAATATGACACCCTCTATTTGCTTCCCTCTTTCTCTGCCTTCCATTTCCCTTCCCTCCTTCCCTGCCTTGCTTCCATTTCTCTTCACTCTAGCGGCCCTGGGATTGCACCTCCCGCTAAAGCATTAGCATTTAAGCTTTGCCTCAGGCTCTGTTTTCTGGAGAACCCAGGCAATAACATACTAAGGATCATCTTGGGGCCAGTTCTCCATGGAGCTCACACTAGGAAATGCTGATTTAAAGAACTCTTGTAGGTTGCCTCCATGAACAACGGCCTCCTTTGCCATTGAGACCAGAATTGGATGATGCCCGGCTATCATTACTGAATGATTTGCTCAAAGATTCTGTAAAAGAATCCTGATCAAAAGAGGAAATAATGAGGACTAGAACCTTAAATTCTCATGGAACCCAGACTCTCTAGGGCCACTGAGGATGATTGACCCTTACCTCCCCCAACTATTGCCCTGAGGAAATCTTTAAACCTAAAACTATCCCCTAAAGTCATCTTTAAATCAAACAGTTTTGCATCATTAGAAGAGAATGGGCACTGTGTTCTCTTAAAGAATTATCTGTAAGAGATCAAACTGACAACAGCAATTGCAAAGGTTAGATGAGAAGTTTAGAGGGCAGTAAGTTGGTATTGATGATGGTGAAACAATTCAGAGAAGGTTATGGAGAAAGGTGGCACAACTTGAAGAAAGTAACCAATGTCACTGATTTCTACATGTAGACATCGTTGAATTGATGTATGTTTTGCTGTGTATATCTTCACCAAAAATGAAGAACTCTTGGAGGGATAAGTCTAGCCTTGCCATCAACTTCTACCTCCTGCCACAAACTTCCTACTTGACCATCCACTCTGAACTCTCTTCTCCAGAAGCCAAACCAAAAACCAAACACATTGCTGTCAAGTTGGTTCCAACTGATAGCAATCCTATAGGACAAAGTAGAACTGCCCCATAGGGTTTCCAAGGCTGTAATCTTTACAGAAGCAGACTGCCACATCTTTCCACCACGGAGTGGCAGAGTGGCTGGTGGGTCGAACCGCTGACCTTTTGGTTAGCAGTCAAGCTTAACCACTGTGCCAGCGGGGCTCCTTCTTCTCCATGGGGAAGGTGAGGAGGGAGGAAGGTTGAATGAAAGCCCAGCTCTTTTGGTAATAACAGGAAGAGAGCACTGTGCATTTATTAAAAGGACATATAACACAAACTTAGTAACCACCCCATATGTCAGGGATAGGCATTGAAATACAGTACATTATCCCTTTCCAGGCCTGTGAGTGCTACCCAGCCCACCCACCGAGCAAAGGAAGTGGTCAAATGTATCAATCTGGCTTGCTTCCCCTCTTTCTAACAATTGCCAGTCATACAATGACCAGGCATTATCATACAAAAGTTCCTTTACAAAAAGCACCAAATTGGCATACATATACAAGTATATACAAAAAAAAAAAATCACTTTTTAAAAACATACAAAATACTCCATTTTGCACCGATGTAGAAAAGTGTCCTGTGTGGTTATTTCAAGCACGTTTCCAATTCTGGTTCAACGGCCGCTGGACGGGCAGTAGGGTCCTACTCCTAGTCCCTGCTCTCTGAGCAGAGGGAAGACACACCTCCCCTTTGTCCCTCCAGAGGCCCCAACCCCTCCCACCCTAGGCCTGTCACTGAGGCAGCTGGGCCCATCGCCACCCTCCCCAGTCTCTCTGCGTCTAGAGGGTCTCATTCATCCAGCTCCTTACTGGTGTCCTGAAATAAAAAGAAACACATGGTAAGACAGGGACTCAGGGGATCCAGGGCTCACCAGGCTGCAGTGAGAAATAAAAGCGTCTGTCTGGTCTCTTCCTTTTTAAACCAAAATAGAATTCAGCTCCCGACACACTACGGATTGTACTTCCAATACAAAACCCCAAAAGACAACTCTATATTCTTCAGATGGATTGGAATTTAGTTCCAGTACCTATGGCTTGAAAACTAATTTATCAGCAAATATGTATTGAGTTTTCCTATGTTAAATGATTTACGAGCATTATTTAATTTACTCCCCACCATAACCTTATGAGGTCAGTACTACAAGACTCTCCTGCTCAGATGAGTAGCGCAAGCCTCAAAGAAGTCGTGGATTGCCCAAGGTCACACCACTAGTCCTTGACAGAGCTGTGATTCAGAACCAAGCTCTTATTGGCTCTGCCAGGTGGGCAAACTCAGATGCCTACTGGGGCCAGCATATAACATGAAGGAATGAAGCAGGCAAGCTTGACCGTGGTGGGGTAGGCAAACTGGTGAATGTGCTCCATCTCCAGGGGGCAGCCCTGCCCTGCTTCAGTTCCCTGGGGCCAGGGGGAAGTATAAGCTCTTCCCAAACGTTGACAAGAAGGTGGAAGCCCAGATTCTTAGCTGAAATCTTTTTTTTTTTTTTTTAATCTCCTACTTTTTAAATGTTGGCAACTAATTTAAAATATTTAAAATGGGCGGCAAAAATGACCAAACAAAACATATCAGTGGGCCAAGCCTGGCTCATGAGCCCCGTCTATTACCTCTACTATGCTGTGTTGCCTTTCAGTTAGGAAGGCTACTCAGATGTAAAATGGGAATCTTTTTGTTACGAATAGTTTGGGGTGTTTTTACCTAAAGGTAAAGGTAACCAGAGTTTGTCCTTAAAATATTTAAAAATACACTTTGGGAAAAGACTAAGCTCCAACCCCAGCGCCAAGCACAGTGCTTTGCACACAGTAGATAGCTCACGTTGTTGAATGAAAGAGCAAATGAATGAATGAATGGAGGAAGATGGGTTTCTTACCTTCTTCTTCTTTCCTTTCTGTGGACTCCTCCTCATCCTGGTCTTCTTCTTCAATGACTTCTTCTTCTGCCTCATCTGTGTATGACAAAGACGAATTGTGTTAGGATGGGGTCAGTTCCTCAGAGGAGCTGGTCAGAGGGGAACCAGGAGCTAGCACTTATCTAAGCCCCGTTTCCTGCCCATGTGGGGCCAAATGGTCCCACAGAGGCAGCAGAGGCCCTGGATGTGAGGGGCTTGCCAAACCCAAGCTGCCCAATTCCTCATTCCCCTGTCTGCCTTCTTCCTCCCACACTCCTCCAAGGGAGTGAGGCTGAGACTGCTTTGTTCCAGGCACAGTGGTTCCTTCTATCACCTGGTCATCTGTGACCAGACAGATAAGCACCACTGGGGAGAACAGGCAAAAACTCCAGTTCTCTGGGATCAAAGTCCTTGTCCTGAAAGAATTTGCTCAGCCTTTGAAATCAGCTTGTTCAGCAGCCCCCTAGCCTGTTTTCCTGATTCATTAGCCTACAAAGGGGTGGGCATGGGGTAGGGAGCACGTCTTGGCCATCTCTGTTCATTAGCTCGCTGAAGCTGAGCACTAGAGGGCCAGTGACGGAGCTGCAACCCGTGTCCTCGCTTTCCCATCCTGGGATATCACCTTTGAGCTCTACTAACAGGGAACATGCCCCCCACACCCTCCCCAAGCCACTTCCTTAATCCTTTGCGGCTCTGAGTGGGTCACCACGGAGTCAGAGCATTTGTCAAAGAGTGTGTGTGGGGCTTGGAAAAGTTAATGCCTCCAAAAATGGCAGACAAAAGTCCTGCCAAGCAGCTAAGATCTGTGCATAACCTAGGGAGTTTTGCTGTTGTTATTGAATCATAATCACAATTACTACTCAGCATTTGCTGAGCACTTACTCTGTCCCAGGCATCGCTGGGTGGTGCAAACAGTTAATAGACTCAGCTACTAACCAAAAGATTGGAGGTTCAAGTCCACCCAGAAGCACCTTGAAAGAAAGGCCTGGTGATCTACTTCCAAAAAATCAGCTATTGAAAACCCTGTGGAGCACAGTTCTACTCTGACACACGTAGGGTCACCATGAGTTGGAATCAACTCGACAGCAACTGGTTTACTATGTGCCAAGAGCTGTCCTAAGTGCTGTATACACATTGTTTCATTTAATCCTCACAAGAATTGTGTGAATTAAGAATGAGGAGTTGGCACAGCCAGATAGCCCTTGATGAGATCTACTTACTTACTAGCTGTGTGGCCTGGAGCAAATCGCTCACCCACTCTTAGCTTTCGTTTTCTCCACTATAAAATGGAGCTGATAAGAAGAGAACCTACCTCATAAAGATATTGTATTATGTGACAATTTAAGTAAAGCAATTAGTGGCTGGGATATGGAAAGTGCTTGATAAATGATGGCTGTAGGGTCGCTATGAGTCAGAATCGACTCAACAGTTTGGTAGGTATTCTCCCCATTTTATCTATGAGGAAACAGGCTCAGGGAGATTACAAAGGACAGTGAAGGTCTTCACAATGTTATCACGTTCACACAGTACAATTCACTCTTAAATCTCTTAGTGTTAGGGAGGGTAACAGTGAAGAAGATGATCTACAGCAATGGATATACTTGAGTCCATTGGTATCTCAGCTTTGGGATGTATTCTGTCCTTCTCCATGACTGGGGTATATCTGGGATTCTGAGAACAGACTTAACTACTGAAGTCTTGCAGGAAAGCTGACACAGGAGGTGCCAAGAAGCCTTTCTACTTCTCACACCAGCCCGTTTAGCTCTTCCTTGTTCCTGCACACACGTCTGTCTTTTCTTTCTCTAAGCTGGTCATGGGATCATGAGCTCTCAGACCAATGCAACATTCAGTCAAATTGGATCTGCCTTCTCCTTCTCTATGGAATCCTGGTGGTGCAGTGGTTAAGCACTTGGCTGTTAACCAAAAGATCAGTGCTTTGAACTCACCAGCTGCTCCACAGAAGCACAGGAGAAAGATGTGGTAGTCTGCTCCGAAAGCTCAGAGAGGTGGAGGGACTTACCAAAGGTCACACAGATAACAAGTGGCAGAACTGGGATTCGAACTCAAGTCTCCCTGACTCCAGACACCACACTCTTTCTCCTGTCCCAAGATTGTTTTCTGCTGTGGATCCATACATAATTTATATGCCAGGCACTGTGCTAGTCTCTGGACTCATCCAAAAGTTAACTCTCTGTGTTTGCCTTTGCGTCAGCTTCCAGGGGTCAAGCAGAAAATAAACACACGGCTCCACCCCTCTCTTACCTGTTCCGAAGTCGATGGCCCTCAGGGTGTCTGCTACATGGTCTAAGTCCACAGTAAAGTAGTCCATGTTCTCAAAGCCCTGCTCTATCTTCCCCAGCTGGCAACCCTTGGAAGCTTCCACAATGCTGTGGAGAAGAGAGACTGGCTGGGTGAGATCTCAAGGGCTTGATGCGGGAAGCGGTGTCTTAGCTCTAGTTCACCTGAGGGCATGTGCTTGTGCCCACATCCAGACCTAGCACCCCAAGGCTCCCCCTAGAAGGTTGGAGTATTTTCTCTCCAGTCACAACCATAATGGATGATCCAAGACAGTAGGGCATGCAAAGATCAGGAAAGCCAGCCGGGGGTGCAATCCTCCCATTGACCTAATACAAAGGAGGAGGCCCACTGGAAAGAAATCAGAGACCCCCGTGGGAGACTAGGGGCTTGGATCATAGCCCTGGGGAGACACTGACCTTTTGATGAGTTGCTTGGCACTCTGTGGGAGGAGATACAGAGAGCAAAGGGTTAGGATTGCAGAAGGGATAGCTCCAGGAAAACAGCAAAACTGGGGACAGGGTGTTGTATGTGGGCACTTAGTGCCACTTCCTAGCCCAGTGGTGACCTGTTCCCTCCCTGAACTTGACACCTCTGTCCACAGTTTGCACAGGTTTTGGTCATCACCCTAAGACCCTATCATTAATTCCTAGCAAGAAGCCCAAACACTTCTAAACCCTGAAATTTCAAAAATGATGACCATGTCCTAATCATCTTGTTATACCCAACGCCTAGCACAGAGCCTGCCCCTTGGTAGGTGCTCAGGAAATTTTTATTGAACTGAAATGTGAAGTTTTATAGCTGAAACCCTTTCTGTCTCCCCCACCAGCCAATGGGCTCTTCTAGGGCAAGGCTGGGTCTTATTCATTTCCGTGTCTCTACCTCAATGTCTAGCCTACAATTAATTGCCTCTTTGATGGACACCAAATTTTGCAGCTTGCAAAGCCATCATCCTCCTCTCGTTGGATCTTCATATAATAATTAAGAGGAAGGTAGGGATTGCTGCATGCCCATTTTACTGATGAGGAAACTGAGGATCAGAGAGGTTTAAATGGCTTAAGGGCACATGGGTGCTCAGTGGAGAAGCCAAGACTTGAACTTCAGACAGAGCTGTTGAGTTGAAATCACCCTGCCCAGATCCTGGTCCTGCTCACCAAGAGGAAGGTGGCCCCACCAGGCTCGTCCAGGGACTGGATGGCTGTCTCCACCAGCTTGGTGGACTTGTCGAGCTGCTCTTGGTACTGCTGGATGAGGACCTCGATGAAGCTGAGCTTCTCTTCCTGCTCCCGCGTGATCTGCTGCAGCAACTCACTCTTCTTCTCATCCAAGATGGCATACAGTACATCAAACTTCTGGCTTAGCGCTTCCTTCACCTGGTGACTGTTCTCCTGAAGACAGAAAATCTTGGAGTCACATCCTGTGGGATCCTACTCCTTACCCCTAACACTCCCTTCCTGGGGTAGGTGTGCCCAGGAACAAAACTTTAAAGCCAGAAGAAATCTTACTACACCCCCATTTTACAGAAGAGAAAATAAAGGCTTAGCAAGAAGAAAGCATTTGCTAAGACGTCACAATTAGTTAGTACAACAGCAACATTTGGAGGCTGGTGTCATGGGGAACAGCTATCCCCTCCCTCAAAAAAATAGAGACTCTCGGGTCAGAGGGGATGACATATTCTAAGCCTCCCATGAACCCCAAGTCACACTCTTCCCCTGATTTTAAGACCGAGACTGGATTCAGGAAGGTCTACATCATTTGGTCCTAGGAGAGGCAGAAGTAGTTCCTCCCCTAGTGGCCTGCATATTGAGGATCCCTTCTCTCCAACACAGATGTTACATCTTAGTTTCCTTATCTATAAAATGGGTATAACAATAACACCTCATCAGACTTGGGACTCTAATGTCCTCCATCATACTGTGATCCTCCCATGGGGAGAACAATGTCCCTCTCCTCCCTTCGAGACTACCCTGTACACAAGCCTTTGTCTACCAGCAATAACGATGACTCCTTCCCTACCTCATCTCTAGGTCCTCACTCCAGGTGGAGGTGGAAAATCATGGATACTTTTTCAGGAATGGAAAAGTTCCCGTCCACCCTCTACAGCCTTGCTAATCAAAGTGTGGCCTGTGGACCAGCAGCTTGGGCAAACCCTGGGAGCTTGTTAGAAATACAGAATCTCATTCCATACCTACTGAGTCAGAATCTATATTTTAACAAGATCCACCCACCCCCAGCACCTTGAGCACTCCCTGACACACAGCTGTGCTCCAGAAGCATTTGTTGAGTGAGTGGATGAATGGATTTGTCTCTCCCCTGCCATCCCTGCTTGGCCACCCCAGGGTCCAGGCCCCAACCTCTAGTTACAACCCATGGGTGAGGCTTCAGGTCTCACCCCAGAGACTAGGCTTCAAAACACCAGGTAGGGCTCTTCTGTCCCCCTCACCTTGGTTACTCGACAAGAGTCCTCCAGCTGAGTGATGATGGTCTGCACACGGTCGTTTCCCGCCACCAGCATGGAGATACAGTTACTCAGTTCCGTCTAGATGGGAGGGGATGGGGGATCAGTAAGGAGAGACAGAAATAGTCTCAGGGTCTGCCCTCTCTCTCAAGACAGCCAACTGGCACCCTCACTCCCCTCTCTGCGAAAAAGAGTCTCCAGTAGGGGTCTGGACCCTCTTTCTGGGGTTCAAGGTAGGTCTATAACAGACGATATCAGAGAGATAGTTGGCTCCCTATTTTACAAATGAGGCCCAGACAGGTAAAGTTAGCAGCCCAAAACACACAGCAAGATACTGGTAGAAGAGGGACTTGTTTCTAGGAAAGAAAGGGATGAAGAGAAGAAGTAGAGTTGGGCAGTTCTAGAAGAGAGAGACCAAGAGAAGGATAAGTAGAAAGAAGTACAGAAAGAGGGGCCACAGCTTACTGCAGAGGCAGGACAGAGGGGCTCCCACAGGCCCAGGGGCCCAGGAGAGGGCTTTAAGCTGCCTCTTGCTGCAGGTGGATTTGAGGTCTGTGAGAGGTGATGGGCACAGGAAGAGCTATCTGGGGCCCAAAGCATGCTGGGATGGAGAAGCCATGGCCTGAGAGGGTCCTGGTGGCCTGGCCTCTCCCCTGAGGCCACTCCCAGGTGCTCTCAAATGGCTCTAAGTATAACCCATGAGCTCAGCTACTTCCCCCAGGAAGGCAAGGGCTACTGTCCCTGTGGTCTGAGAAATCCCTCTAGAGGGACTATTCCTGAAAGTCTGGCTCAGCAGATCTACAAGGATCAAACCTGCATCCTAAATTATGGGCCTTGCCTGCAGGCCCAGGCTGGGAGTGGAAGTGGCTTGGGCCAGTACCTTTTGTCCCTGGAAGACATCCTGCAGCGGGGCCACCTCACAGGACTTGTGGGCCCCGAACACCTTGCACATGGAGCAAGTGGGCACCTCGCAGGTGAGGCAGTAGATGTTGATTTTCTCATCTTCGTGCTCCTTGCACATGGGGTGGCTGCCCTTCTTCAGGGGCCGACTAAAGTGGAGAACAGTCACCAGTCACGGGGGAGTAGGGGTGCCCCGACTCCCTGCCTCCTCTTCCAACTCCAACCAGAGGAGACTACCCCAGGTCTGTGGCCTGAGCCACCAGCACTCTCAGTGGCTGCTGCCCCAAACCTTTTCTTTTCACCCTCTGGGGACCCAGGACCAGGGGAGCCAATGACACCAAGGCTATCCCACATCCAAGAACTCAAACCCCAGTTTGCCCAGTGCATTCGACATGGGACGGGTCATAGAATTCCAGAGAGTCAGAGCTGGAGACATTTGAAAGAAGAGGAAAATGGGACCCAGAAAGGTTAATTGACTTGTCCAAGGTCACCAAGCAAGTCAGGGGTCAGGGAAGGTTAGGCTGGAGTACATTTGCTCTAATTATAGTTACCATAGCTCTTGGTTGTTGTGGGCCAGGCTCTGAGCTAAGCATTTTATACTCATGGCCTCATTTAATTCTATATTTAATCCACCAGACTGTAACTTCCATTAAGGCAAGGAAAGTTGCCTGTTTCTTCACCCCTGAATCTACAGTGTCTGGCGCCTGGCATAGTGGCGGTGGTAATTAAATACAGGGAGAAAGAATAAATCAATAAGCACGCCATGAGGGTGCCCCAAGGCTCAGAGAAGGAAGCAAGGTGTCTGTCCCAAGTCACACAGAACGTAGGTGGTCCACAGCTGTTCAACAGCCCAGCACAAGCCTTGACTCCTAGTCCAGAGATTCTTCCCAAGGTCCAGAGTCTCTTCCTTTTCTTCTTCCCAAACACACATTCTCAGGATGCCTTTCTCCCTTTATCTTGCTGTCCACTTAGGGACTCTACTATGTCATTTGTGCTTCTCTTGAGGCATCTGTCATTTCCTACCCTAAATTCCATTTTAGGGGGCCTAGGTCTTACCTCCCCAGCTAGGCTATACCCTCTTTTAGAGCCAACACCATGTCTATTCCATGTCTTAGATACACTCAGCAGGTATCTAAGGGTCGAATGGGTGACTGGCCGCCATCAGCGTCAATGCCTCACCTCCAAACAGCCTTGCATGACCGATTACACCCTAGACTTATTGTCCCCTTAAGTTATTGAATAAGCTCCTTTCCAGATTTGTCTTTTTGCATCTTTAGCCCAGGGCTCCCCGTGTTGAGAAGGGTCCCTCTTTGCCACCTGACTCTATCCTCTGGGAAGGGAGCACTGGAGGGGCAATGGGTGCTGACAGACACAGATCCTGTGGGTCTCGGGCCTTGTGCCCACCACCCTCTCAGATGCCCAAACTCCTGAGCCCAGGCTTTAGCATCTGGGCTGAGATCCAGATTGTTCTGCCACTCACTTTTTTGTGACCTCCGACAAATGGTTTCACCTCTCTGAGCCTTGGTTTCCTCCCAGGTCTACTGCAATCATAGCAGGAGTTGCCTGTAATGAATGTGTAATGCCTAGCCCAGAGCAGACCCTCCTAAAGGGCAATTTCATTGTCATTCAATTATACAGAAAGGTCTTCATAAGTTGACACTAGGCAGGTTAATATTTTGGTGTGATGTTGGTTTTATTATTATCGTAATGATCAACCATATGTTTGTGTTATTGTAATGTTGAGCTCTATCAGCATGAGAGGCAATCTGGCATAGTGGTTAGGAATATTCACCATGGAGTCAATCAGACTGGGTTTTCTCTCTCGGCTTCATGACTTACTTGCTGTGTGACCTTGGAAACCTCTGCCCCTCTCTGAGCCTTCATTTCCTCACCATGAAATGGGGATAAGAAGACCTTATAGGGTTATTATGATGATTAACTAGGATAATGCTTGGAAAATATTTAGCATACAGTGCTTACACGTAAAACAAAAACCAAACCCATTGCCATCAATTCGATGCCGACTCATAGCAACTCTACAGGACAGTAGAACTTCCCCCACAGGGTTTCCAAGGCTGTACATCTTTACGGAAGCAGACTGCCACATCTTTCTCCCATGAAGCAGGCTGGTGGATTCAAGCCACTGACCTTTTGGTGAGCAGCCAAGCGCTTAACCACTGTGCCACCAGGGATCCTAGTGCCTACACATAGTAGGTGATCAATAAATATTTGGTATTTTTAACATTTCCCATCAATATCCTATTTCACAGTCACAATAACAGATCTTATTGCCCCCTTTCACAGACAAGGGAAATGAAGGCCCGAAGGCCAGTGCCTTACTCGAGTGCCTTAGTAACAGAGTCAGATTGCAGACACAGCTCCCCCGGCCAGGTCTGTCACCCTCCCTTGAGCAGGGCGCTGACAGCAGGCGGGTGCTCCATAAAGGTTTTGGATCATAAGAGCTGTGGGGTCAAGCACCTGGAAGTCTTGTCAGGATGTCCTGATTGTAAAGCTCTCTCCAGTTTGAAGCCTAATACCGCGCATCTTCTACCACTCACAAATTGTGCCTGAGATTGAGCTGTTATTTTATAAAGAGAGAGACTTGGAGCTAGATCAACTGTGTCCACTCCCAGGTCTTCTACTGCCCATCTGTAAAACCTTGGGTAAGTGATTTCACCTCTCTGAGCCTCAGCTTCCTCATCTGTGAAATGGGGATAATAGAAGTCATGGCTGATCCATAGGGTTGTTATGAGGTGCCAAGAAGTATCCTGGTGCCCAGCACTGTGCCTGCCGACACATGGAGGGTAGCTGTTGCTGTCGTTATAGAGAACCCGGCCGAATTCTCCGAGTGCTTTCTCTTCTTCTCAGGGCCACTTAGCTGGCCCCAGTGGCTCTCTCTGCCTCTCCTGTCTCATCTTTCCCCTGGTTTCTGTCTCCGCATTTCCCAGAAGGGCAGCCTGATATCTGGGCTCCTCCCCATTCACTGAGTGATACTGAGAGCCAGGGTTGGGACATATGTTCCTCAGGCAGAAGGAAATGGCTCTCTGGACTGCTGGGACCCAGCTGGGGGACCAGATCCTGAGTGGATGGAGGAAGAGAAGGAAAGGCCTGGGAGAACTGGTGCAGGATGGCAGGGGAGGGAGGATGAGCTGACCTGGAACACTCCTGCTTGTAGATATCGATGATGTTCTCCACCAGCAGGTTCCTCTGCAGGCCGTACACTCCGTGCCGGTCCATGATCACCTCATGGCGGCAGGAGGGGCAGCGGAAACGGCCACCAGACATGGACATCGAGCCACCCCGGTTGGTCCAGTAGGGATTTGCGGCCTGCAGATGGCAAGGGCAGAGGTGGGGCCTGGGCTCCCTTCCCAGCCCTTTCTCTTCCTAATCTCCTATTATCCTTCCTCACCCCTGCCCACCCCCACCATTCTTGTCAAACCACGTGACCTGCCAGAGGTGTAACTAAGGTGTGGTAGGTAGGGCACGTGCCCTGGGCACCGCCTGAGGAGGGGCGCTAATGAGCAGTTTGGATTCGATTTACCGTCAGCCATTGCTGTTTCCATCACCAGCTGTGAGAGATCATGCAGCAATTTAAAACTACTTGCCATAGGCGCTATTTTCCGTAGATAGACCCCTGCCTGGAGCTCCTCATTCCGAGATGGCAACCAGCCCATTTTACACATGGAGCACCTGAGAAGCCGCTAAGCACTCAACAGGCATATAAGATATACACCTGCTTTGGGAATCAGTGATCCTGGGTTCAAGTCACATTTATTTGATAAGTGACTTTGAATAAACCAAAAAAACCAAACGTGTTGCTGTTGAGTTGATTCTGACTCATAGCAACCTTATAGGACAGAGTAGAACTGCCCCCTAGGGTTTCCTAGGAGCGCCTGGTAGATTCAAACTGCTGACCTTTTTTGGTTAGCAGCCTTAGCTCTTTGACCACTACGCCATCTGGGTTTCCATGTGACTTTGAATAAGTAACCTTATCTAAGCCTCAGTATGCTCCTTCATGAAATGGGCATTATAATTAGGGCAAGCTCCTAGGGCTGCTACTTTGAACATAAAAGAGTGAAAGAGCGTTTTGTAAAGTGCTTCTGGGGAAACTTGATTCTTGCTTCCCAGCCAGGTTGTCCACTCGCATTCCTTTCTTAGGGAGATGGAGCCCCTACCCCCACCCCACCGCCAGATTATAGTGGCCAGCCTCAAAAGGGAAGGTGCCTCTACTGCCCAGTGCCTCCCCGCCACTCTCTTCCCAAAGCTCCAGGCCCCCTGCCACTGGGGAGCTGGCTCCAGTCCCAGGGGTCTGGTTTCTCTCTCCTTTCCGCTTGCCTCCCCCACTTATCGCCAGAGGCATTTGACTGTTGATTGGAGAGTCAACTGCCTAGCTCAGGGCAGGGGTGGGGGAGCTGTGGGCCTGGTGGAGAGGGGAAACGTGAGTCATGGAGAGGGACTGGAGCAGCCAGAGCAGCCTCCCCAGTGCCCCTTAGCTAAGTCCCGAGGCCTTGGGATGGGGGGGCGGGCACTCATTTTGCAGGGGACAGAAACAGCAGCAGTTTGGAAAGGTCCTGGCCTAGGGGAGAAGGGTTTTCGTCACAGGGAAGCTAAGTAGCCCCCTGGGGCCCCAGGAATAGGCCATGCCCAGCACTGACCTGGAAGATGTCATTGGCACACTTTCGGCAGAGGTTGTGCTGACACGGTAAGATGACCACTGGCTTGGTAAACAGCTCCAGGCAAATGGGACAGATCAGCTGCTTCTCCAAGTTCTCCATTGGGTTCCCATCCTGGATCAGGCTGGACTTATAATCCATATTGTCGGTAGGTGTAGGCCTACCTGGCTGCCTCCTTCACCTGCGCCTAACTATGGGCACACCTGGGACTCTTGCCTTTGTCACAGAACACCCGCTCGGAGCCTCTTTGCCTCCTTCTCCTGGTGCCCGAATTCTGTCTTGGTCTGAGGCCCCTCTGATATTTATAGCTGGACCCCGGTCACATGAGCCCCGGAGGGGACCAGCTGAGCATTCCGATGCCAGGCGGCTGGCGAGGTTTGAGTTTCCTCCAGGCCTGGAAGACTCGCCCTCTCAAATCACACGTGGGGATGAGCAATTGCTGTTCCTGGGATGGGGGTCGTAAACAAGAACAGCCTGTTCAGAGGCAGGCTGAGGGAAGGACTGGGTACTCAGCGTTTCCTCCAGAAATTGGTCTCCCCCTACCCTAGGCTGGGGAGGCAGGGCTGGGACCCATTGAGTGAGCCACTGATATTCAAGGAGTTAATAGCCAATGCCCCCTCAAAGACAGGAGAGTGACCCTCTGACCTTAATAAAGTCCTTTCCCCCCAGGGCTTCGAACCCCTGCTGAGAATTTATATTTCTAACAAGTTCCCAGGAAATTATACATAAGAATCACCTGGGGATCGTGTTAAAATGTAGGTACTGATTCAGTGTATCTGGGGTGGAAAAGTAAATTCTCAGCAGAGCACTTGTTAGAAATGCAAATTCTCAGTGGGGGTTCAAACCAGTTCCTGGGGTTTGAGGTTCTCCCCACCCCCCCCGCCACCACCATTTCCCTTCTCTGGAGTCCTGGGTGGCTCCCAAAATGTAGGGTCAGGAAGCCCCTCATTCTGAGCCTATCCCTCTGCCTTGGACCTGAGCACAGCATTTTGCCAGAGACCTTGGAGACCCCATCCTCCATCCCTTGATAGAGACCTCATCCTTCCATCAAATTTTCTCGAGGCTGCTAGCAGGTCTGTCCATCCGTTGGCCGCTAATTCCACTTTCATGTTGAAAGGGTTCCCTGGAGCTCATCCAGCCCTCTCACTTTGTAGACTTTGAAACTGGGATCTGGAAAAAGAAAGGGCCTTGTCACTTGGAAAGTAGGTGGCGAAGCCAGGAATCTTATTCATTCATCAAACAGTTTTCTGGCTATACATTAGGCACCAAGGTGACAGGTAGATGAGTAATCCCTTTCCCTACCCCAAGATGCCCACAGCCCAGGAAGTGAGACAGAATAACTATCATGTTGGAGCCCTGGTGGTGCGCTGGTTAAGGGCTGTGGCTGCTAACCAAAAGGTCAACAGTTCAAATCCACCTACTGCTCCTTGGAACCCCTATGGGGCAGTTCTACTCTGTCCTATAGGGTCACTGTCTTAGTCATATAGTGCTGCCATAACAGAAATACCGCAAATGGATGGTTTTAACGAAGAGAAGTTTATTTCCTCACAGTCAAAGTAGGCTAAAAGTCCAAATTCAGGGCATCAGCTCCAGGGGAAGGCTTTTTCTCTCTGTCGGCCTTCTTCTCTTCAGTGTTCCCCCGGACTAGGAGAGCCTCTGCGCAGGGACCCCGATCCAAAGGACGTGCTCTGCTCCCAGCACTGCTTTCTTGATAGTATGAGGTCCCCCTGTCTCGCTGCTCACTTCTGTCTTTTATATCTCAAGAGATTGCCTCAGGACACAATCCAGTCTTGTAGATCAGGTCCTGCTTTACTAACACAACTGCCACCCATCTCCCTCATTAACGTCATAGAGGCAGGTTTACAACATACAGGAAAATCACACAGTACCAGGAATCATGACCTAGCCAAATTGATACATACACACACATTTTTGGGGGGACATAATTCAAACCATGACAGTCACTATGAGTCAGAATCAACTCGACAGCAAGCGGTGGGTAGGTAGGTACTGCCACAAATTTCCTAACCTAGATCCATAGAAGTTATCCAGATGCTGCCCTCTGCACACATTTTAGATTTTCTCCATGTCCTTCTGGACATCTTCTTCCATGTTGGCAGGCTGCTGTTGTTAATAGTTGCCATCAAGTTGGCTCCAACTTATGGCAACCCTGTGTATAACAGAACAAAACATTGCCTGGTCCCGCACCATCCTCACAATTGTTGGCATATTTTAGCTCATTGTTGCAGCTATTGTGTCAGTCCATCTCACGCAGGGTTTCCCTCATTTTCACTAATCCTCCACTTTACCAACCATGATGTCCTTCTCTAGTGATTGGTCTTTCCTGATGATGTGTCCAAAGCAAGCGAGACCAAGCCTCACCATCCTCACTTCTAAGAAGCATTTTGGCTGTACTTCCTTCAAGACTGATTTGTTTGTACTTCTGGCAGTCCACAGTATATTCAATATTCTTCTTCACCAACACCACAATTCAAATGCGTCAATTCTTCCTTGATCTTTCTTTTTCATGGTCCAGCTTTCGCATGCATATGAGGCAACTGAAAAGACCATGGCTTGGGTCAGGTGCACCTTAGTCATCGAAGTGACATCTTTGCTTTTTAATACTTTAAAGACGTCTTTTGCAGCAGATTTTCCTAATGCAATATGTTATTTGATTCTTGACTGCTGTTTCCATGGGCATTGATTGTTGATCCAAGTCAAATGAAATCCTTTACAACTTCAATTTCCATCAATTCCTGGAACCTTGGTTTTCTCTAATGCCTTCAGCGCAGTTTGAACTTCTTCTTTCAATACCAGCAGTTCTTGATCATATGCTACCTTCTGAAATGGTTGAAAGGCAATAAATTCTTTTTGGTACAATGACTGTTTATTCCTTCCATTTTCTTTTGATGCTTCCTGCAACATTCAATTTTTTGTCCATAGAATCCTTCAATGTTGCAACTTAGGCTTAAATTTTCTCTTCGGTTCTTTCAGCTTGAGAAATGCCAATCATGTTCTTCCTTTTCGGTTTTCTAACTCCAGGTCTTTGCACATTTCATTTTAGAAAATTTCCTTGTCTTCTCAAGCCATCCTTTGAAATCTTTTCTTCAGCCCTTTTACTTCATCATTTCTTCTGTTTGCTTTAGCTACTCTATGCTTACGAGCAAGTTTCAGAGTCTCTTCTGATATCTATTTTGGTCTTTTCCTTCTTTCTCTTAACAACCTTTTACTTTCTTCATGTATGATGTCCTTGATGTTAACCCATAACTCTTCTGGTCTTCAGTCATTAGTGTTCAGTGTGTCAAATCTATTCTTCAGATGGTCTCTAAATTCTGGCGGGATGCACTCAAGGTTGTACTTGGCTCTCGTGGACTTACTTTGACTTTCTTCAACTTCATCTTGAACTGGCATACAGGCAATTGATGGTCTGTTCTGAAGTCAGCTCCTGGCTTTGTCTTGACTGATAATATTGAGCTTCTCCGTCATTTCTGTATGCAGATGTAGTCAATTTGATTCCTGTGTAATCCATTCGGCAAGGTCCACGTATATGTTTGTGTTGTTGAAAAGAAGTATTTCCAAAGAATAAGTCATTGGTCTTGAAGAATTCTATCATGCAATGTCTGGCATTGTTCCTATCACCAAGGCCATAGTTTCCAACTACTGTTCCTTCTTCTTTGTTTCCAGCTTTCACATTCCAATCACCAGTAATTATCAACACATCTTGATTGCATGTTTTATCTATTTCAGACTGCAGCAGTTCATAAAAATCTTCAATTTTTTCATCTTTGGTGCTTGTGATTGGTGCATAAATTTGAATACTAATCATATTAACTGGTCTTCCTTGTAGACATATGGATATTAGCCTATCACTGACAGCAGTGTACTTCAGGAGAGATCTTGAAATGTTCTTTTTGACTATAAATGTGATACCATTCCTCCTCAATTTGTCATTCCCAGCATAGTAAACCATATGATTGTCTGATTCAAAATGGCCAATACCAGTCCATGTCAGCTCATTAGTGCCTAGAATATAGATCTTCAAGTATTCATTTCATTTTTGATGACTTCCAATTTTCCTCACTTCATACTGCATGCATTCCACATTCTGATTACTAATGGATGTTTGCAACTGTTGCTTCTCATTTTACGTCATGTTGGCAGGTAGAAATCATTAAAGTAGTTCCAGTGGCTGTTTTTAGGGTAGAATCTCATGCAAAAGGACTTTGGAACCACCCTGTATAAAGTGCTGGGGCAGGAGAGTGGGTGGAGTTCAGGAGGAGTGGCATCAGACATCAGGATGAACCTGAGGCCATGGAACATACAGGGGAAGTATCAAGAAAGAGGTACAGTAGGAGAATGGATTTGATCACCTCAGTCCCAAGAAGATTTGATGATTCAACCCACAAGACAAGACCTAATGAGTAGTAAGGGCAGAGGATCCAAACTCAGGAAAAGGAGGAAATGGGAGGGAGAAGATAAGGGGCCTATCCGAGAAAGAGGAGACCTAGAAGACAAAAGGCAGAATTTCAAGCAGAGGGTGGTCTCCATAAAATGTTAATGTCTAGTTTTTGCTGAACACTTAGGTACTGTGTGCCAGGCACTGTGCTAAGTGCTTTATATGTATCATTTCATTTCATCTATATGTAATATTTCATTTCATCTTCTCAACAACCAAGAATGTAAGAACCATTATATCCTCATTCCACAGATGAAGAATCTCAGGCAAGGAGAAGTAAAAAACTTGTATGTGGTCACACAACTAACAAGAGGTAGATCCAGGACATGAACCCAGATTTGCTTGACTCAGGAGCCCAAGCACCTCACCTCTGTACTGAAAAACCGGTCAGCATTGCCAGGGTAGCCAGGAGCCAGAGGGGGTGAGGACTGAGAAAAGGCCATTACAGCATCCTTACTCGCAAACCCCCATTTTGTTCAGGCATCGGGCAGCACGATGCTCCAGGAAGGAGAAAGCTTCATCTTTGCCTTTGAATGGAGTTGGGAGAGGATGGGGCAGCCACCATCTTGCAACCACGGGAGGACAAGCCCAAGGAAGAAATCAACATCCTGAGGATGGCAGAGAGGAACTGCAGAAAACACCTGAGTCATTGATGCCCTCAGTGTGCTGCCAATTTATTCAACCC